TGGTGATTCCCACCTCTAGAGCTAAACGAGAGTTATAAGTAGGTGTTCCCATCTCACCATCACATGGTAACATAGTAACAATTGTAACAATGTCAGCTGCTGGTTTACTTAGAATATTTCATTCAGAACGGGAGCCGAGCCTTCAGCTTTCAGGTCCTTCGTCTTCTTTTAATAATAGATTTCAAACTTTCCTTTTTGATAAAGCACATAGTTATGGCTGGATCAGGTGACCCTGAGTCCTCCCGTAGTTACGATGCAATAGCTGTAGGCTGCTGGGAGCTTCCCATGAAGTACTGACTGCTTCTTCTTCACTCACCTCTTCTCACTCTGCCTGTGTTTAGACACCACTCTGCAGTTAATCATTAGTTATTATAAATCTCTGGCTCCCTTCCTCGGTGTGTCTTTTGTCCTGTCTCGTTGCCCTCATCCCCAACCGTCGACGGCTGCGCCTCATTTTCTTCTTTTTAAAAGGGTGTTTTTCCTTCCTACAGTCTAGAAAGTGTTACCTCACAGGGGGTCGTCTGATTGTTAGAGTCTTTATCTTACCTTGGGATGACTGTTGTTGCGATTTATGTGTAAAACTGAATGGAATTCAACTAAAAATTATACAACATATGCATGTAGTTATATTTTTGTTGGCAGTTGTGAATGCGTAGCATTGTGGCGTTTGCTAACAGTAGCATAGAGTCATAAAGTCAGCAAATTATTTGGGAGGTTATACAAAGAGGATTGGAGTTGTCTGCGCTTCCTAAGATCAAAACCATTATTGGGGTGAAAGTGAAATGGTCACATCGTATTTATGTGTCATTTTAAATCAGAATGTGTCATTTAAAACAAATCAAGTTAAAACTTGAACTAATTTATTTTTAGGAATAAATCTCGTTTCTCTGCACACGTGGGGAAACTCAGAGGATTACGCTGATCTGCTCTTCCTGAATGCTCGTGGAGAGTACCTAAAAAAGTTGGAGCCTGTCTACGATTATGTTGTCTATGTTTTACGACGCCGTGGAACTCGAGTACATCACAGTTGCCTGTGACCGTTTCTGTGAAGTTTCCCATTGGTTGGTTTTTATCTGTACATCTTTGCTGGGGCTGGTTCGTCCTTATCTCTGCATATATCTGTACAAAAACATAAACGGTATAGCCTGCACTCTCCCAGCATTACACAAACATTTGTCCCCAGAGTCAGAATTAGGGAAGAAAAAAAGCTTTTAAATGTGCTGCAGAATGAGCTGAAAGGTCGGGATCGTTCATTTTACAACATGCGATTCCAACAAAATTCTTATCTTGTTTGTAATCATAATACTTACATAAACTACTGTTTAAATATTATTGTTGCTGCTTTTCTTGTCTTCTGTTGACTTAAAGTTCCTCCCAACATGTCTGTGGGTTGCCCAACCTGTCCTGTCAAAGCTGACGTGAAGCGAGAGTTGACATGATTCATTTAGTGGCTTCTCCTCGTTTCTGCCGTCCATTATCGTCTCCTGACTTTATCTTTTGGCATCTAACCACAAACCTGAACCATTTAAAGAGCGTTTTGCAGCTTTGCATGTTTTCCTAGCTTCAGGTGAACAACTGAAAAAAACATTTGGAACACAGACAGGTAAATCAGGCCTTCTTACAACAATAACACGTGGATACGAGCTGACTGACACATTTAAATTGTTGCTGTTTGTGATACATTTATTAGTTATCATTAATAATAATAATGATTGACATGGCAGTTATTTTCATGTCAATCACTTCACACTGAGTTAGCTTTAAACATATTATGCTACGTCACATGTCGCACATTTGAAGCAGAAAAACATGGAGTCATTTCACGTCTGGGGAAGGTTATTCCCTCTGGTAGCTTTGACATTTCTTTCATCCGAACATAAAAACAGTACAAAAGTTGGCCTTTCACAGGAGAATGAGTCACAAGCCTGAATCAGACCTCTTCAGAAAAATGGCGTCAGAAGCTCATCTCACAGCAGGACCCGAGTGTGGCAACAGCAGGCCAGCTGTTGGCTAACATTAGCCACTTTAAGCTGTTAGTCACTAACAGCTAGCCAGGCTGCAACACCCTCACTGTACTTATGAGTGTGTGTGACGTATGAGTTTCATATATTTTAAGCGTCCCCACTCATGCACACTTTACGTGGGCACGAGTGGGAGAGGCGTCACGTGAGCAATTAGGCAAAGTTTGGCGCACTGATACACGAGGAGCCAACTACAGTTAGATGCGCGCTCGCCGGGGACGTGCGCGGGCACGGCAGCAGTGCACCGGTGAGCCGGTATTAACGCCAGGGTGCAATGTAGTCTGATGAAATTACCGCGGCTGTCAGCGCCTGTCTGGGAGCTTTGAGGCAGTACAAGAGAGCGGCTGCGGGCAAAGATGAAGCCGTACTTTTGGGCTTAATTATCCAGCTTTAAGCTAATTAGAGGAACACTTCACAGAAAGAACAGGGGTTAAAGAGGCCTAAGACATTACAGCGGGCCAACAGCACAGAAGCACCGTAGCTAAACAGAAAGCCCCATTTCCCTCACACTGGAAATTAAAATCCAGGATGATATAGAAGGAAATGCTGATTTTTTCCTTTTGCTTTTTTTCACCGGGAATGTGACTCCGGGACTAATTTCGGGATTTTGTGATTAAAATGTAAATGTGTGTGTGTGTGTGTGTGTGTGTGTGTGTGGTTGGGGAGCTCGGATCTGACATCAGTGGCGAGGGTTAAGGTAGGCCGGGCAAAATAGCGTGTGTGGGGATAGAGTGTGTTTGAGAGACAAACTATTTTCTGCAGTGTGAGGGCAGCGGGGAGGATCTGTGGCTTAAAGCCATCACGGAGCCGCTCTGGAGGAGATGCATTCTTTATTCTGAGGAGGGGAGGAGGGACAGGAGAGAGAGAGAGGGAGAGAGAGAGGTGAGCGGAGAAGGCACGTCGCACTATCAGCTGAATCCATCTAAGAAAACAACTCGCAGGGAGTCCGCGTCTGAGCTGCGCCAGGCACTGAAAGGCAAGTCTGACCTCCCCACCAAAAACAGCGCACAGGACGGACGCAGCTGGCCGTCATGGCCCGTGGCGGATCAGGCGGCGGACAGTTCGGCGAGTGCGTCCTCACCGTTCGGCCAGAGTGTGGAAGGCGAGAGAAGTGCCCCCTGCCGCTGTCTCCGGTGCTTTTGCGCCGCTCACGGTGTTGAGTCAAAGCGGAGGGAGCTCTCCTTTTAGAAGCTGGGAAACGCAGGAGAGAAAAAAAGTACCGACGGCAGTGCGGACGGACTCGCAGCCACATCCGAGACACACACACGGGGAGGCAGAAGGGGACATAACCCATGCGGGCAAATATGCTCCTCCGTAGAGTCGCCGGCTTCGAGCTGCTCGTAGGAACCGACTCGCACAAGCGTCGCCGAACAGAGCTTTACGCACGGGTTTGCAGCAGGACCGCATGAAGGACGGAGGCGTAAAGACGGGGGAAAAGTTGACTGCGGTTGCGGGGTTTGCGATGGATAAAGGCTCAGCAAAGGTACGATGGATGCTTTTCGCTCAATAATGAAAGTGTGTGTTAAAATGCAGCTTTACGTCGGGCCCGGGCTGCGTTTAAACGAACCACTTTTCACTCGAAATTCGTTATTCCAGCACAGAAAGCGTAACCGAACCCACATCCAGCAGAACTACGTATGGTAAGGAAAGGCGTTCAGGTTCCCAGACACTTTTAGAGAGAAAAAGAAAGGGAAAAACGGTTGTTCAGTTTATATTTGTGCGGTTCATGAGACATTTCATCGAGTTTTTGGCGCTAACAAAACACGCAGCACCACATTTTTCCCACTCGAGTGAAAACCCGAGTTTTTTTCTTCTTCTTTTCCTCTTTTTTTTGTAAAGGGGCTTTCACCCTCTGTGCACTGCACGGTTTTCGACTCCCCCCCCCCTTCCCCGCTTTGAAATAATTCATTCAAATGAACACCGCTCACTGGGCAGCCTTTGAAGTGTACCTGATCCGCCTCTTATCGCCTCTTAAATACCTTATCCATTTTTAAACTTTTAATTGCGTTTCTGGGGCTAAATCCAGTTCTAATCGGATTGTCCTGGCCACATATCACAGCGTTCATCTGGTGGTGAGAAACTGTGCTCCCTGGGCTGAAAATTAAATTAAAAAGAAAATCAAGACGGAAAAAAAGCAGAGTGTTGGTGGGGTAGTTTTTCTCTCCTTTTTTATCAAGCCACTGCAGCTCATTGATCTGTTTCTTTGGTGGTGTTAAGTAAACTCGACACTGTGTTTCTCTGAATCTGGATTCTTGGTGACATTTTATTTATGCACCTATCGTAATCTTGATGCTGCTGCCTTCTGCTGTTGATTCTGCCGCTGTGGCAGCACATTTTATCGCCTCATGTGGTTGCTTATCCCCACCACCACCACCACCCCAAGCATATTTGATTAAATTTAGCTCTTTCAATTTAGAAAAGTAGATCACAGATGTGTGTCACAGGATTGTTTCTCCATCCCCGCCACAAAGAGCCCATGCGGGCTTCCATCTAGTCAACAAACAAACGGAGGAATTTAAGGAAGCGGAGCCGTGAAGGCGTATAGATTTCTTCTTCTTTCTTTCCCCCCTCCTTCTACTAAATATAGCTGCTTGTCTGATGTACCAAGTCTGGATTTAGTTGTTGAACACGGCCCCTAAACTGAACAGATTCCTCTGAGCTCGCTGAATGATGAGGGGCCCCATAACCCTGCAAGGCTCCTTAATCCACAGTCACGGCCGTTGCAGTGCTTAACATTCAACCAGTCGTTCCCACCGTTGTGTGTCATCCAACGCTGACTTCGGGTGGAGCTTCAGTTAAGCTGAAAGCTACCTATGGTAAGGAGGGGGGGGCAGGGAAATATTTGATGGCTCATAAAAGTTGGAATAATGGATTTTAGGGAGGGGTGGTCTACTGTAATCCAGTGGCCTTGTGCTTCACTGCAAACCTCTCCGAGGTGAAAAACAGCCTGTATCGATCATTTATTGCAGGTGGAGGGGCTAAATTATTTTCCAATCCAATTTCTTTTGACAGCTTGTGCTTGTCACTCCATCCGGGGCGCGAGGGGGGGTGGAGCTGATATGCAGCGCCTCTGTTCCTCGATTGCCTCGTCTTTGTTTTCCAAACATCCACAGCCTCAAAATCTCCAGTTTGGCCACGTTAGCTTCAGGCCTTGCACGTAATAACGAGCTCTTCCTCGGGCCACCGGCAAAAACAATTGGCTGTGTTTACTGTAAGCACTCGTGTGTTTACCCGTGTACCTCTGCTCGAGGATCTGCTCAGGCAGCTGGGAAGCAGAAAAGAGGCTGTTGCAGCTTGTTTTCTGTTCGGCATTGTTGTCTTTTCCCAGGAAATATCCTCCGTGTCCACGTTGGCACACAGAGAGCTCCTATCTTTATTAACCTCGCCTCTTTTTAGCATGTTTTCCATTAAGCAGCGCTGATGTCGCTGAGAAACCCTGTGAATCCACGAGTGTGTGTCCTTGCAGTGCTCTATTACCGCCTTTGATAGAGCGCAAGGGATAAAAGCCTTCTTTATGTCTGTGAAACCGGATGTGCAGGAGCTGTTCAGAATATTTATCAGTCTTTTTTTTTTTTTTTTACATAGTCAGTGCATAATTCCACAGTGCAATGTTTTGTGCCTCTGTCTGTCTTGGGAAAGAAGGGAAGAGTGGGAGCAAAATGGAAGTCAGTTGGTATGTGTTTGTATTTTAAATAAAGAGGCAGAGGGAAAAGGGAGGCCCCCTATTTTTCTTTTCTTTTTTTCCGAGAACAGGCCACCTCTGAAAATACTCATCTAGCTTCTCTTTGTTTTCCCGCAGGTCTCTGGATCCAAATGTCACCCCCCTTGGACTCTGCCCTGGTCTGGGACCAGCAGTGTGTGACGGACAGGCGAGCGGAGCCTGCGGTGGCGCTCAAATTGGCCCTGGCTGAGCTCTGCATGGAGCAGCGAGAGAAGAGTCCTGCTATGGTCTGATGTCTCAGCATGGATGGAGTCAGTCAGAGGCCTGGCCACCACTAATGAGACCATCGCTCTTCGGCTGAGGACTAGCATTTACAGGATTACTCCCACAGTTTCCTGCTCTTTTCCCAGCTAACTGCATCATTACTTAACAATCTTAGTTGGACTTTTTTATATATTTTCATGGGTCTGGTTTTTGGTGGATATATACGTCATTTGCCTCTCTGATTTTCATTTTTTTATTCCCTCCCGCCAGTTTTTTTTTTTTTTAATTGTTGGTTTGCCTTTTTTTCCCCCCTGTTTGTTTTTCCACTATGGAGTTTCTGGCTGGACCCTGGATTAAAGATTGGGCTTCGTTCTTGCAATTTTGGTTGACTGTCATCCTAAGCCTCCAAATGCAATTCAGCCCAGGTGCCTCTTGTCCGCAAGAGTGTCGTTGTGACAAAGGGTTTGTGTACTGCAACGAACGCAGCCTGACATCAGTGCCTCTGGGGATACAGGAGGGCTACAAGGTCCTCTACCTCCACAACAACCAGATCAACAATGCTGGTTTCCCTGTGGAACTTCACAATCTGGCCTCCGTAGAAACTGTGTACCTGTACGGCAACCAGCTGGACGAATTCCCCGTGAATCTGCCCAAAAACACCAAGGTCCTGCACCTCCAGGAGAACAATATCCAAACAATCTCCAAGGCAGCTCTTGCCCAATTGACTAAACTAGAGGAGCTACACCTTGACGATAACTCCATCTCCACAGTAGGGGTGGAAGAAGGGGCCTTCAGGGAGGCGGTAAGCCTCAAACTCCTCTTCCTCACCAAGAACCACTTAAGCAGCGTTCCCATTGGTCTTCCCGAAGACCTGAAGGAGCTGCGGTTAGATGAGAACCGCATTGCTGTCATTGCAGAGGAGGCCTTCCAGAATGTGACACGTCTACAGCGCCTCCTGCTGGACGGGAACCTGCTGACAGATGAGGGCATCGCACCAGGGACCTTCCAGGACCTGGCCACCCTCCGCGAGTTGGCTCTGGCCCGCAATTCCCTGACTTTCCCCCCTCCTCTCTTGCCCAGCCAGTCGCTGGTCAAACTTAGCCTCCAGGAGAACCAGATCGACCAGATCCCCGTGGCGGCGTTTGCGGGTCTAAACAGGCTGGAAAGACTGGATATCTCCAGCAACCAGCTTCAAACTCTAACGCAAGGTGTGTTCGATGGCCTGTCCAGCCTGAGGCACCTCATAGTGCGAAACAACCCGTGGCGCTGCGACTGCACCGTGAAATGGGTGGTGGTGTGGCTCAAATCGCTGCCTTCCTCTGTCAACGCCCGCGGGTTTACGTGCTCGAGTCCGGAGAAGGTGCGTGGCATGACAATCAGAGAGCTCACGCTGGATATTATCGAGTGCCCCATTCAACCCGACCAGCCGCCCTGGCCCACCCTCCGCTCCACACCCCCTCCCCCACCCACCACCACCCCTGTCACCACCATGATTTCCACCCTCATCACTTCATCCATCCCTTACTACTTTGACTCCCCCTCCCCCACGCTGCCCCCCTTACTTAACAACCCCGCCGGACCCCTGCCTCCTTACGAGGACCCTCTTCAGATCTCCTTCCACGTGGTCAACTCCACCAACATCGACGTGAGCTGGGCTTCCTACTTTACTGTCACCGCCTACAAGGTCACTTGGGTCAAAAGGGGCCAAAGCCAAATCAACGAAGGAATGCAGGAGAGGACGGTGAGCGGGGACCTGCGGCGCATCAGCCTCACCAACCTGGATCCCCGGTCTGTGTATCGGATCTGCGTGCACGTCCTGGACACCCTTAATTCCTATAGGCCTGGGGAGGATACTATATGCTCCGAGGCCAGGACCAAGGCGCCGGTGACCACCAAGCCTCCGGGCAGAGAGCAGGCTCCTCAGGACAGCATCAGCTCCACGCTGCTAATGGCTGGGATCATAGGAGGGGCTGTTCTTATCGTCCTGGTTACGCTGCTCAGCTTGTTCTGCTGGCACATGCACAGGAAGAACCGGTCGTCTTCGACCAAGTGGAAATACAACCGCGGCAGGAGAAAAGACGACTACTGCGAGGCTGGAACCAAGAAGGATAACTCCATTCTGGAGATGACTGAGACCAGTTTCCAGATAGTGGCGCTGAACAATGAGCAGCTGCTCAAGGGAGATTTCCGCATCCAGCCCATCTACACTCCCAACGGGGGCATTGGATTTAGAGACTGTCACCTCAGTAACAACAGCATAGCCTACTGCAAGAGCAGCAACGTGCCCAGTACAGAGTTCTGCCACACGTGATGCTGCAGACACTCAGTACAGCAGCGCACACACACACACACACACACACACACACACACACACAAAGCAAAAAGACTTGCATAAACACACACACACTGTTTGTCTAGACATTGAAAAATATAAAAAATTATAGTGAAATATAACTGTATTATATATATTTCCAAGTTCTGTCTACGATGTAATTTATACTGTGGATAATAATGTGGGATTCTCTGCTATCTTTTTTATTCCTAGAAAAACAGATACAAGTGTTTCTTTTTTTTATAACCAGCAGGGTTTTGGAAGTTGTTTTAACGGTCAGTACTGTACATGAACATGGATTTGTACAATCACGGCACCCTGGGTGTAGCTTCTGACAAAAAAAAAAAAATTTGCTGTTAGCCTTGGAAATGTTTTTTGGGGGAGGGGGCGCTTTAGGAGGGCTGGGATCCTTTGCTAACCACAGAAGCAAAAATAGGACCTTTTCACACTTTGAAACCCTGCAAAAAAATCAAAAGAATAATAAAAACACCCTCCCCAGAACAACACGGCAGACGGGGAAATCCAAACACTGCTGATTAGAGGAAATATGGCGCTGGTTCAGTGACGGCGTGTTTAAAAAGGAAAAAAAAGAAAGTGCATGTTCTTATTAATGGCAGCAAGGCAGGAAATGAGCAGAGGTAGGCGGTGGTGGCGTGTGACGGGGGTTGTGCACGGCCGTGCAGGTTGGGAATATCATCGGTGTTGTTGAAAAGCCTGGGCTGAAAGTTCCTTAACACTAAAAGCATCTTTGTTGTTTGTTTCCAGGTAGAATTGGTGGCTTTTGGACAGCTCTGGAAAAATGATTGTTTCTAAAATCATGCTTGAATGTGCTGATTCTTGCTGATCCTTTCCTTTCGAAGAAACATTCGTTCGCTCAGCTTCTTTTCCCCCCAAATGTTTTGGCCAGTGAGGCCACAAGGGGGCAGTTTTCCTCAGCGTTTTGTGTGTGTGTGTGTGTGGTACATAGTCAGGCCAGAGAGATCACTTTACCTCCACCATTTCCCCCGAGCCCATTACCCAGACAACATTACTCATGCTTGAACAGCATTGTGTCGAGTATTTTTGCTCATTGGGCTACTTAATGATGTGGAATCATTTAAAACTAACAGTGTTTCTGTGTTTGCTGGTTAAATGATATGGATTTTCACCACTCCGGTCCATTATGAGATGATTTGTGTGTGTGTGTGTGTGTGTGTGTGTGTGTGTGTGTGTGGAGAGCATGATGAATTTTGATATGGCTCACACATAACACTAATTATACAGCCACTTATCTCAACCTTGTCCCATCGTCCATTAGACTTTGTGATAAATTAGGAAATTACAACAATGGACTCGCACCCCGCCCATGATCGCACACTGCGCTGCGACCAAGCGCTTCATCTAGCTTCTCATTATTTATCCTTTTGTCCGCACTTATAGTGTGGCCTTTTTCATTCACGCTTTGCTCAGCCAAAACAATGCAGCTGCTCACTTCACAACAGCATCTCTGAGAGGATGATTGCCACTCTGTCTGCCTTCCCGTGTCAGCGTCCAACTCTTCGCTCCGATCTGTGCACGGCTCAGTTAAAACGCTTTCCCTGCCCTTCGGCTTGTAAGCGTTGGTGGCTTCTCTTTGCATTGAATGTGAGGGTGCCAGTGTGAGGTATTCATTATGCACCTCTTAAGGAAGCTTTATTTGATTTGACAAGATTTTATTTTGAGGGGCCAAGCTTAAAGAGCTCCTTCCCTTTTCTTTCCCCCCTTCGCATAATCCTCAACCAAAAAAGGGAGAGAAATATGTAGGCCTTATTTTCACATGGCTGCCCGAAGCTCATGCTGAGAGGTAGTTTTTAACTCTTTGCGAGGCACACAGATTCAGCTGTTCAAATGCACTGTACCCGACAGAGTCGGCACAACCTAAGATCACTTTTTACAATCCAGAGATTTTTTAAGGGCTCGTGCGAAGCGTTGAGATTAAAAGTAAGCACTCTTCCTATGACTCCAGCATTAGCTCAGATTGTGATAAATTGGCCTGTTTGCAATTCCAGTGCTTAAAATCTGTTCAACCTTTAATTGAATACTTTAATGAATTAAATCATCCATCTTAAAATGTAATTTAAGGTCACCCTAAAATAATTTTTACGTATTGAAAATTCATTTGTTTTTTAGATGGAAGTGGTAATTTTCTTTTTCAAAGATAAAATCTCTGTCATTAATTTTTTTTTAATGACAGAGATTTTAATGACAATTTTTTTTTCTGAGTGTTTAGCTGAAAAAAAATCTACTAGAGTTTCATCATAAAAACTTTTTGTAACATTTCAGAATATCGTATATTATCATGTAGCCTAATTGTTCTTTGCTGTACAGTTGTTGTGTGTTTAGGTCACAGATTTACTCTTTGCAGCTCTTTGTTCATTTGCACAAAAAAAGAAACAAAAACACAAGATATATAATTTCAGCAAGATTTGAATCAGTAGCTTTGTTTTCTCAGAAAAGCGTTTTAGCTAGCATAGCAATATTTGAACAAGGATCAATAGCAAATATGTTATAGCTATCACAACAACATTATTATTGTCAATTCTGTTTTTTGGTCATGATAGTTGTGCAGTAAAATTTATTAAAAACATCTAATTATCACCACTTTCCTGTTAGCATGCTAAAAAAAAGGCGCTAGCACCGGCAGCCAGCTAGCCTAACCTAGCTTGGAAAGTAAAAACATGTAAACAGCTTGTTTGCACTCGCAGACAAGTCTATGAAGTCTTTTACGCTGTAAAACCACAAGGTCATTTTTAGACTTCTAATTTTTGTACAGATTGAACAAATGTGATCTAATGTAGATATTGGACATAGCGAGATTAGCTGTAGCCCTGTCTGTTTCAAGCTAAGCTCATCTGCTCTCGACTACAACTTCGTGTCTATGGCATCAATCTTCTCCTTACTTTAGTAAGAAACCACCTATTATTCCCCAACTTCTAAATTAATATGCAGGTGGTTTAGATAAGTTATTTAAAGCTAAGAATGATTGATAGCGATGATTGATTTGTCGATCTGGTTTTTTAATTTATTTTTGTCATCATATCCAAATGTATTTTTTTGTGAATATTTTTAGCCAAAATAATCAAAATATCAATCATGTGAAAAAGGAACAATCATACTACTCTGCTCACTATAAGGGACACTGTCACTGGCTGCCTATTATCCTAGTTGAGCTTCAAGTCTGAAAACTGGAAAATAGCTAGCGTGCTCAGGCTAACGCTAAAAAAATTTACTATAAAATGTTGTTTTTAGACTTCATATTTTTGCACAGATTAAAAACAAATGTGAACTAATGTGCTCATTAGTGGTGTTGGCTTTGGTGCTGGTAAATGGTGAGTTGAACTTAACAGTTTTAGCTTATCACTGAATTGAGCTATACAGACATGAAAGTCATGTGAGTCTTCTCATCAGTCTCAGCAAAAAAAGTGAACTTTGTAAAATGGCAAACCCCGTCTTTCACTCCTCAGCTCCTATTCAAGTATGTAAATAATTTTTAAAAATTATTTCAAGTTGTTCTACATCTTCTGTGGTTATCAAAGTATCTCTACTTTTTGTTTAAATCTTTTTCTACTAATACACATATCAGCCAACCCAATACATGCTGTCCATCGAGACACACCAGGCTGCCCTGACCTGTGCTCGGCTTTCCCCTGCTGGGTACCTAACCGACAGTTCACCATGTACTGTTCGCTACATGCTTTAACAGCTGACCATAATCCCACGCAGCACTTGAACATGCTACAGCTGGGATTTTTTTTTCTTTCATTTTAAATATAAAGCCCTATTTTAGTCCCACGATCAAGCAAGCCAGGTGAATCCATTGCAACATTTAGCATCTCCCCCTGTCTGTGAATGTGTAACGGAGACAGATATTTGCCTTACCTTTTATGCAGGAATGAATAATTAACGAGAGTGAGAGAGAGCGAGGGAGTTAAGTGGGAGGAAGAAAGGGGAGTAGAAAACATGAGACATAAAGAGACGGCAGCAAGAACAGAAAGCACATTTCTCCGATCGACTGCAGCAACAATAATGGCGTTAACAGGAAGCGTGACACACACACTAGCTAACGAAGAGACTGTTCATCCATAGTGCCAGAAATTAAGCGGTGCACTGCTAATGATTCAGCCAGACTGGGAAGAGGCTTTGGTGGTTGTTTTGCAGCATACATTACTCTTAATTTCGATCAAGAGACTGCAGTGCCATAGCCAATGGAATTTACACACGGCTGCGAATGTCGGCTTATTACAGTTTCAGGGTGCCGAGAAGCTCATTGATCCACGTTGGAATAATTACGTTTAATCATTGAGAGGTCACCTCAGACAGAACACGTGAAATTGAAAAGGTGGAAGGTCGCCCTTTTCTTCCTGCAGGCAGAACCTTTGCTGCAAATATCTATTAGCCAGTGATGTTCATTCAAGAATTTTTTGCATGTACTGTATTTAGCTTCATAGCCGTTCATTTGTTATCACACCGAGGTTTGGACTTTCAAATATTTCTTCTTCCCAGTCGATCGCCACACGCGGTTGAGATGCAGCGCGGGCAACCATACGCAGAGATTTTCTTTGGTGTAGAGGAAGTAGGCTGGAAACTTACAGTGCATGTAAAATGGCTATGTTGGGATACGTCGCCATCCTGGCTTCTGGCTTCTCATCCGAGACACAGTGTTACGTTAGCCATCCACACCGAGACGTTTTCTTAGGAACCAAAGTTAAATTTCTGTTCTCATGATGAAATATTGATGTTGTTCCATGTATGTGCCTTGAGGTTGAACTTACAATGTAAAGTCCTTGAAACCTTTAAATGTTTTTGCACAAACTGTAAATACTTAAGTGAAGCTTTTTGAAAATAAAAGAGCCATTGGATTTGAGCGATCACTCGTTTCCTTGTATCCAGCAAAGAAGTGAATGTGTTCTTTGGAGTGATCCTGCATTCTTGTTGCTCTACATGTTCCCCAAAAACACTCGGAGCGAAATCTATTTTGGGTCAGACACTGGCAATTCTGTGTCAAAGATTTGTGCTGTGCGCACCATGCCAAGTTATCCTCTTATTTCTATATGGGAAGCTTGTGCCGCCTTAGCGTAGCCACTGCAGCTTAGCATTCAGCTGGGGAGAATCCAGGAGACTCTCTTATTCTGCTTGTATGGCACAACTAAACCCCAGGATGGGCTCGATCTCTCAATCCCTGTGTTTTACCAAAGTCCAACTTTTTTCCCTCCACGTGACCGCATCCCAGTGTGGCCTCTGTAACCTCCAGCCTGCTAAGAAGCCCACGTTAGCGGAGTCTTAATTCACTATGACAATTAACCACAGCTGAAACAAAAGGGTGTGCCACTCTGGTATTTTGAGCTGGAAATGGGTATATTTCTCAAAATCCCCAAATGTCAAAATGTGATTTGTTATTGCGGAATCGTCGGCTTTACGTGGAGGCCAAGTGGTTAAAAGAATCGAGGCTTTGGCATTCAGATCATCCGCTGTCTGTTCCTCCCTCTTTCTGTGTTGTGCAACTCTTGCTTTGAAAGATTTAGTGTATAATCTCCCCCCTGTGCATTTTCCAGGACTGGCTTCTTCACTGAGGTGAAGCTAGTCATGAAGAAATTATTCACGCAGCTTGGATTAATCATTAAAATCTTTAGTGATGTGTACAAATGTTTGCAAAAAAATCAGAACTGCCATCAAGAAATGTAGCAAATGTTTAAAAGTACAATTTCAGGAGGGAAAATTATATATTAACAGAAACGTCCAAACCATGTAAAGTATTCAAAGTTAAGAAACAGCTTTTCAGAGTAAATAAAAATGGAACTGAGAACTGTCAAATTTTGCTAAGCTAATTCATTTTGGCTAATTTTATTGTTATATAACTTAAAACAGTTTACAGCTGTTACAGTGGTCTGGTTATGACATTAAATAGCATTTTATTAAATGTCAGATTCCAGACGCATCAACCACATGACCTTAAATTTGAACCTGGTCAAATTAGCTAACGATACTTTAGCTTGTTTGTTGTGTTAGTTACAGGTTACTTGGTGCTTCTCGGTGTTGGAGCTTAAAACCTAGATTTAATCGAGCAGGTATATTTGAAGTACTGACTTTATTGTTTTCTTGCTGCTTTATATTTTACATTGAAGTATAAAATAGACGCTGCTGAAATTAGCAACACACATAATTAAGTGTAGAAATTGATCTCATTTTTAACCACACGATTATCACGTTAGGTTATGCAAATGAGAACAACAATATCCTTATGTGTTAAATTTGCTAACTTAATTATATGATCTCTTATTTCCCTTAGCTGGCAGCTAATTTCAGTATCGCTCTGCATTATAGAGGGACGTTTATATGCATAAACCTATAACATGTATTATTATGATAAAGTGCTGCTTGGCCATTAGTTATAATAATTAGTTTATAGGGTTATAACACTTAAATTTTTTAATATTAGTGCTGCTTAAGTAGCATTTCACTGTTATATATTTCTTTTATGCTCTTATGTATTGTAAGTAAAGGACAGACTATTCTGTGAAAACTAATCTCTTGTTAAAAACTCTTATTTGTGCTACAACCCATCTTATCTATTGATTTGGTAAGCTCTGCTGAGTGGTCACCTACCCAGTGATTACGTATCTGAAAACCCAGAGATAAGTACTCACTAGGAACAGAGTTGGTACGCTCAGTTTTCTAGAACATGTTTTTTGTGAATGCTGTAAATCATTTCAAAGAAAGTGGTTTGTCATATTCCATATGGCAGCAACTAATCAAATGTGAATTTCCGCCTTTGAATCGTTCCGTGAACAGGTGTTAGCGCCGAGTAGCTTTATTTTTTTCCGCTCCCATAAAGGAATATTCAATTTTGTGCCTTGTAAAAGCTCCATAACAGCCTTACTTTGTGATCCACATTTAAGCATCTTCTAATCAGCCTCAATATGGTGGAAAAGTCATTAAAGCAATCTTATTCCAGGTATTACAAACGTCGACATCTGGCAGAATTAACATTGAACTGATTGGTTTAAAGCTGCGCTCCAGCGTTATCCCGTCTTTCATTGCCCTCAGTAGTGTTTAATTAAAGCCTGAATGCAGGTGAAGCCTTTGCCTCTTTCACAATATGTCGGGCTAATTGTGTGTCA